GAGCCGCGCCGCGCCGCGCCATCACTGTCATTGTTTGCTTCAGGGCGACCGGCCTTGCCGCGGCGCCGCCGGTTCCTCTTCGAGCCGTCACTGCCGCCCTGCTCTCCCTCCTCGGCGGCCGAGGTTGAGTCGCTGCCGTGCGGCGCCTTGCCCCGCCGCTTCCGCTTCCGCCTCCGCCTGCGGCCCTGCGCGGCTGCTGCTCGCTCCCCCTGTCCCTGCGGCTCTGCATGGCCGCCACTGGGCTGCCCCCCCAGCTGCTGCTCCTGCTCCCGTTCCCGCCCGGCCATGGAACCCTGCATCTCCGCGCCGCCGCCGCTTGGACTTGACGCCAGCGTCGGCTGCTGCCGCTGCTGCTGGCCTCTTGGAGCTGCAACGGACATCTCATCTTGCTGCTGTTGCTGCTGTTGCTGCTGCTGTTGCTGCTGCTGCTGGCGTATTGGCACAGCAGCAGACATCTCATCCTGCTGCTGTTGCTGCTGCTGCTGTTGTTGCTGCTGCTGCTGCTGCTGCTGCTGCTGCTGCTGCTGCTGCCCTCTTGCCACAGCAGCAGACAACTCATCCTGCTGCCGCCGCCGCCGCCGCGCGATGCAGTAGATGTTGCGGCCGCGCGTGTGGGGCTCCAGGGACTCGCGAAACCTCTTGAAGGCGGCGCCGCCCCTCTGCTCGAGCTGCGGTCGCAGCCAGGGGGCAGAGGCAGGCGTGAGACTCACCAAAATAGCACTCAACAGGACAGCAGGGCAGCGGGCGGCGCAGGCGGAGCGGAAGCCCTGGCGTACGCCTGTTTGGAGCCCTGGATCTTGCGGTTCTCGGCACTGCCTGCCAGCGATGCATGTGGTGTCAGTTGCACACTTCGGCACCCTCAAAATCCACGCTGTCACGGGGGCAAACCCTGAACACCTCAGGCCGGACTCAACTCCGCAGCGATTCAACAGCCCCCCCAGCGAAGCACACCAACCAACCACCACCAACAACCGACCATGCTCCTGAGGATACACACCCAACAGTACCCAAGCATATGTACCCAACCACTGATCAAGTGCCCCCTTTGAACCTCTGATTTCCGCTCATACATCCTAAATGCACGCCGCCACCGCTGCTCCCGCCAAAAATCGCAGGCCTCACCAGGCCGTAAGAGATGGCGGCGCCCTCGATAGACAAAGCACCGCCTTCCGCGGTCAATTGCTCCATGACATCAGCAGGCAACGAGCGCAGCAGCGCGCCGCCGGCGTTGACCGGCGCGCCCC